ACTGTTTTGCAGCTTTGGGGGCCACGCGGCGCAGGGCAATACGATTTTTTTTCAGGGGCCCAGCGATTTTTTTTCAGGGGCGGGCCGGATTGGACAGACCAACGGGCCGGATGTGGCCCGCGGGCCGTAGTTTGCCCACCCCTGCGTTATAGCGTTTGAATCTTGGCGCGGCCCGCCAACAGCCAGTCAGATTGCTCGGAATGAACCAATCATAACTTGCCATTATATGGGCCAATAGGACGTGCAGGATTACGATCCTGCTAGGCAAATGAATCTTTATTAAATACATTTCTTTCGTTCACAACAGTACCGATAGCGCTGAAGATCAGCAGAGACCAAACCAGTTCCCTCTGTGGAGCTACTGGAACTGCTGTTGGGCCCACATCAGCTGCTGAAGCAATGGGGAGAGTGCAGGATTGCAGGAGGTGAGTCAGAAAGCCTCTACGCCTGTGCAAATGCCCATTTGGTGCGCCCATGCAAAGTGTGTGCGCACACGCAAAGCATGCCCACCAAGCCACTCCCACCGAACCGGTGGTAAACTATTTTGAAATGCACCACTGGTTTGTGCCATTTTTGATGCTATATTGTTGAAATCAAAATTTAGTCATGCTTAAAACGGGATCACTGAAATCAGTAGGCATGTATGGTAAGTAAACACCCATTCATTTCAGTTGGTCTGTTCAAAGAATGATTAGATCTTGATTCAACCTCTTATCATGTAGTTAAAATTGGTTTTCATGTGCTGTTTGCTGCCGTGGGAGGCTTCAAATTATGAAACAGAAGCTGAAACAGGATGGAGAGAGATATTACAGGATTTCTGTGATGCTGAAGTCTGCAGAAGTCTACAGATATGAATAGATCAACAAGAAATGACCATCAGATTTAACTGGATGTCTGAGTTCACCTCTTAGGAAAGGTCTAATGTGCTAAGCATATTTCATAAATAGAGAAAATGTAGAAGAAAAACAAAATAAATCTGGAAACAAACTTCAGTTTCAAATGCTTTGATCTGAAGGAATTTATTAAGTATAGAAATCCGTGATTAGCTAGCACTACTGATTAAAGTTTAAATAGATAAAACCCAGAAAATTCTTAAATGTAAATTGGCATGGGGGGGGGGGATTTCATGTGCGGATGGGTGAGTTGTGTTTTCTTTCCCTCAAAACCATTCACATCCTGCCCTTTGAGGAACCTTTCTTAAAGGCCAGTGACCATAAACATTCCTAAATAATGATAGTCTTCGTTAACAGCCCCCCCCCTTTTGACAGCTGCATGAAGAAAAATATTTCAAAACTTGACATTTTCACATAGTTACAGGGAATGGAAAAATAAACTTTGTTGGTAGATTAATTGGATTCTGCACTTGGTGCATCCGCATAACTTAATAATTCATATCCAGCAAAAGATGCTCCAAAACTGAAACACATTTAGCTGAGTGATAACAGCCATGAGTTTTTTTTCTCTTTGGTTTGGAAAGGGTGCACTACTTCAATATTACAATTCTGTTCAATTGTCTCACATATACAAAATGAATCCAAGCTCAAAAAAACAGCAGGTCGGTACGTCAATGAGAGTTGTCACAAAATCAAACAAAGTAAGTGACAGTTCTATCCAAGCTGTTTGGCCACCTATGGAGTAAGATGAGGATGCTTGGATTGTGAAGCAAGATTTAGTCAGTACTATGGAGTTGTTTTGTTTCTCCCCCGACCCCCCTGGATTCTCCATTAACCTGCCAATCCATTAATCTATGGAGGCAATATTCATTAATAGATTTCTTCACATATGAAGGAAAAATATCTTACCAGCACTAATAAACAGCAAAGCAGTGTACATAAAAATCAGAATTCCCAAGGAAAATCCTTCTTCCTTTATTTCTATGGATAGCACTGGACACATTGTTAGCCTTGCCTGGGATTTCATTGGCTAAACATTAAAATGAGAGTAAGTTTACTCTCATTAATTTTGGGGGACATGAGAGTGCCTGAATATTTTGTCTTGTATTTTGGCACCTAAATCATTAGTATTAAGATCCCTCTTTTATGATGATATTATTTTTGCAATCTTTCCCCAATGTGCTAATGCTATAAAAAAAAACAAGTGTCTGACAATACAAAGGAAGCATTTGATCGAATCCCGGTTGGTTCAGAAAACAACTAAACTCTACCTCTCTTCTACTGATGCTGAGGTTTATTAGAAAAAGGGATTAATTATCCTTAATAACAGAATAACAGCTCTTGCATTAAAAAGTGCAGAAGATTGTCATACAAAAATGATGTGTGCCCCAACTGCCAATTTTACTGAAACAGATTTATTAATTTTGTTTTTTGAAGGAAATAATCTGTTCAATGATACAGCCAGAACAGATCTCTACAGCTAGATTCTTTGCAAGGGTAATATTGGAAAAATTACTGCTGCTGAGGATTATTGAGAGAGTCAAATGTACTTTTCATCGGTGATAATTAATCTTGTATCAAAGTGTTTGTTTTCGCTGTCATTCATATTACATTAGCATGACGTTCATGTGAAAACTGTACATTAAATTACATACTGTATAAATCTTTTCATTAGATACCAGTCCCCTTGTCCTTACTTTTTGAGACTAACCTTTGATCTTCCAGTCAGTAACAAAAATAATTACCATTTCTGTCCAACCTGGCTTGATCTATGTAATTCAGAAATAGCTGCACAGCTGGAGACAGATGTTCATGTCTCTATTGCTAAACTCTTGAGAGGCTTGCGCTATTATTTATATCACCCTTGTTGTGAGTTTATCAGCTTCCATATGTTGCTCCCTAAATGCATGATATATTCTGTGAATTTCAAGAAATAATGACTTTGCAGAAGCAGAGGGAGATAAAACAAGAAAAGAAAAAAGTTAAAAACTTTCCTGACATTTAATTCTGCTTCATAGGGTAAATTTTTATAGATGAAATGGTCCATTCAGGTGTTATCTTTCATCTATGAAAAATATTTCAAGATTATTTTTGCTGACTAGCACTGGCTTAATTTATCCAAGAAACCTAAGAATTAAAAAATAGGAAATCTTTTTATGCCTTACATTCGAAGAAATGTCTTCTAAGAACTGAGGAGAATACTAAAAGAAATCCAGGATTTTGGGGACAGGAAATTCTGAACAGGATGTTTCCTCCACCTAAGATCCTGGAAAAATACCCCATCTTTCCAAGTCCAATGTCACAGTAATTATGGGTGGGACCTAAATTGTATAACTATATAATCTCTCCTCTCCTCTCCTCTGCTCCCTTTCCATTGTATTCAGTACTTTACTAATGGTCTCTCTTCCCCCAAATAAGCTGGCAGTCTAAACTGACTCAAGTCAATTGGGAGTTACCCCTTAAAAACAATTAGCTTCAGCTTTCAGAATAGTGATACATGCTTTCCCTTAATTCGGTACATGCTTAGTTAGCTCTTTGGGGAATATGTTAAGTAGCTCCAGTGGTTAATGAGGAATTGGAAAGTTTAAACTGATTAAAACTGGGGTGCACTGATCTTAGGCACTGACTTACAACAGGGTTGTTGTTTTTTTACATGATTTATTCTTTCCATCAAAAGGGAAAGACCCATGAAGCACGCTTTATCAGTTACTGTAAGAAGCATGCCTGGACACATGCAGCATGCCACTCCACTCCCAATAGTGGACCATGTAAAAATATATGTGCCAATGTTCTCTCCTTTGCAATAGACAGAACAATGGTAGCAGTACACCAGAGGAGCATTTTCTCTTCCTCTTTTCTTGTTCAACCCTTGTTATAAACGGCTAGATTTGTCAATTTTTTTGGTGTCTTAAGCTAACATATCTGTATCAATGGCGGTGTGTTACCGGTTCAGCCCAACCAGTAGTAAAAAAAAAAAAAGCCTCCAACAATCACCTGAGAGGAAAAAGAAGAGAAAAGTGCAAAAATCGGCCCTGCCACCCGCCCCTGCGCTTTTCTCTTCTTTATCCTCTCATCTGATTGGCGCTGCAGTTGTCAGCTGGTGTGGGGAAAGCTGCGCGCATGCATTAGGTGAGTGTGCACAGGCACGCGATCACCAAACCGGTAGTGGAACAGCTGGGATCCCATTGCTGATTTGTATTCTTTCTGAGCAAACTTTCTTCAAGGCAATGTTTCTTTTATGACAGAAAGCAAATCTTAAGACTACAACTCTGTATTTTAAATAAAGGGCTACTTCAAGTGAACACAACACTTCTAATCAAGATAATGTAATCCCAGAGAAAAGGCATGTAGCAAACCAGCTAGTATTTCAGGTTTATTAGGTTATAAAATATAGACTTATATTTCAACAGAACATAATATAATCTTCCATTTCATGTACTTAAAATGGTACACCTTTATTCCAAAATATATTATTTAATGTACCCCCAAAATACACTTCAACCTTTATTTAACATAAATTCAGCTCCAAATACCATAATCTTCTATTTAAGTCTTAAACAAATGCGTTTTCTTTCTAACCAATTCCCAAATTAATTTTAAACATTTCTTAAAGCATGTAATGGTATGTGTGAATGACATTAAGAGGAGAAGAGATGCTGCCTAGGAAACAATTAGATAAGAGAGGCAGGAGCCTCCAGTGGCTTAATGGTCAGAGAAAGAAACTTAGGAAGGATCCGCCCTAATGGATCAAGCAGTTAAAAGAGCCAGTGGGAAGTTTATACCTTCAGATTTGCAAGATTCTGTTAAAGTAGACTTACAATAGAGTAGAATTGATTGGATTAATTACAGTAGAATATACTCTTGTTTCCTATCTAATTTACTTGGGAGGGCTGACAAAACAGCAGTTTGTAGGAGATACCTGTAGGGATTTATTTATTTGTTTGTTTGTTTATCAAATTTATAAGCCACTCATCTTGGGATTCAAGGTGACATTGAGTGGCCACATGTACCGCAGGAATATGTGTACTACAGTTTAATTAAAGTTTTGACAAATTAGGATAAAAGTCTCCTCACATCAAGCTGTGTTTTTGGCAACTTCATGGACAAATTAAACAGAATCAAAGGCAATGCATGCCTGATGTCTCTCTAAAGCACAAGAGTATAATATTTCAACAGATTTAATGTAACAAAATTACAAACCTACATCAAGATTTTAACCCTGTTAAAGAGAGATAAATTCATTTCTCTAACGTGTCATAACACCTGAGCACATTATTCTGTATTTCCTCTAATCCACACCATCTGAATTTTATTAAATGTGATAAACAGCTGAGCACATTATTCCATGCTTCGTTATACCATAACAGTTTTATTAAATATTGCTTAAGGAAGAGAAATACAGTGCAAGTCCAAGTAACTGTGCCCTCTGTTTTCAGGCAAGCTCAACTGTATCCAGCAGCAGATCCCATGGAACTTCTGAGGAGATATGGATAGAGTAGTAATGTTCATGGAATAGGTTAATGGAATGTTTGCTTAAATTCCATAATGCCCTTTGGAAATCGAATGCATTTCCATCTCATGATCTCTTGCTTAGAGAGGAGGCTGGTTCATATGCTGGTTTCAGTCTAAGAACCACACATTTTGCAGCCATGTTAGAGATGATGGATCAATCACATCTACCTGAGGTAAGAAGGTTGTACACTATTTCCCCTCTCCTCTCCCCCATCGCACAAAGTCAGAACTAAATTTTGGGCACGGGCAACTGGCAGAATGCCCAAAGTTTCATACCTCCAGGAAGAGCTGCAACCCACAAGCAAAGGGAAGGAGATTATGGTTCCTACAGTTATACTATTATTCTAGAGAAAACAGCCCCAACAATTGTGCGCAATCTTTCAGCCCACTGCATTTAGCTACCATTTGTTTATTTAAACACAGTTCAACTTACTTTACCTAATGGGGCAGAACTTCTAAAAGGAAAATTGTGTTTAGCTAAGCATTTAAAAAAAAATGTTCTCAGTGCTTACTCTAAATAAATAGCCAGCCAAAGTTTTCGTTGGCACAATGTAGACAAATGTATTCAATTTCCTTTAACAATATAAAATAGTCACAGGAGTTCTGGATTTTTTACCTTGAGAGGAAGGAGGTAAGGGAGGGAGAGTAGAGAGAGTATACAAAAGCTTTATTTTATAAAATGAAATAAATCTCAGTATGGGTACCAAAATTTGCTTTCAATGTTCTACTATTTATATATAAACCTATATAATAAAGCATTTGAAATGACATTCATATAAAAGAAAAGATATACCTTTAAATAAATAAAAGCTACTATGTACATTATACTGTACATGAGAAGAGATGTGACATCAGTGGGATTAAGTTATCTAATATTCTTATTTTCTCCATTAAAAAAAACAAAAAAGAAACTCTTGGCCTTACTCTACATTTTACAGCTAGAATCTAAATTTTTTTGTATCTTTTTTTTTTTTTGTCTTTTAATTTTCTTATCTCCCTAAATAAATCTTCTTTGCAGAGGTTTCTCTTAATGTTTTTTTATGCTTTTCTTGATCTTTGCAACAGCCACATTTCCTTCCCAAGATGCTTACGAACGAAGCCGTACCTAGAGTATGGGGGGGGAATGGCAAGAACCCAGTTGCAGTCCAGTTTTTGGTATGATGGACACCATAGAGGAAGAACTTCAGCCCTAGAATTCTGTCAGAATGAACTGATCCTCTTCTTGGAGAAATGTTGTGAAATGGTCGTTCCAATTCCTCTATGCCAAAAAAAGAAACAGAAAAGAATAACTGGATAATTTCCACTTTGCAATGCTCTGTTTTGCAATTGAATCCTAGTGGCATCCGCACGATCGTACCACCATGTTCCTGTACTTTTTCAAAATAACATTGGAACTGTCATCAAAATAGAGGACAGAGATGGCATTCAGTTTGGTTGGAGCACAACAAGGCTTTGGGACATGATCCGGAAACATTAAGTGGACCTGAAATTCAAAGACAAGAAGATACAATGTGATTTTACTCATTCAATAATTTGTAGTAATGACTTCTACAATGAGCAGTAACATTGATTTTGTTTTTGTTTTGCTGAGAGAGTCAAAATGTTTCTGATTTTAATACTTTGCAGTGAAAAGTATATTGTGCTTTTAATAAGAATATCAACAAACCCCAACGTTTGTCCTGTGGCTACTTAAAGGTTTAGAGCAGGGGTATGCAACCTTGGCAACTTTAAGACTTGTGGATGACAACTCCCAGAATTCCCCTGCCAGCTGTGTATTCTCTCTCTCCTTCCCTCCCTCCCTCTCCCTCCCTCTCTCTCTCTCTCTCTCACACACACACACACACACACACACATACACACACAGAGATGGAAACATACCAGTGTCTGTACTATGGCATGATTTGTGGCGTTCATGTGAGCATTGAGAGGAAATGAACATTCTCCATCACAATAAAATGCAGCATAACCCTCTGGAGCTATAATCCAATCCTAAAAAATAAAAATAAAATGTTTAAATGCAAATTTTCCATCTCAGTCATCCCTCAGTTTTGGCAAAAAGAAAAAATGAAAACATCTGAAAAATACCTGAAATTTGAAATTTCACATTGTTTCAGACATTGGCAGAGGTTGTACTCAGCAGGTTCTGACCAGTTCTGGAGAACCAGTAGCAGAAACTTTGAGTTGTTCAGAGAACTGGTAAACACCACCTCTGACTGGCCCCGCCCCCATCTATTCTCTGCCTCCCGATTCCCAGCTGATTGGCTGGGTCTTCTTTTGTTGCCCTGCACAGGAGAACGGAGCTAGAAAGCAGGTTAGTGGGGTGGTGAGGGAATGGGATTTTGCAGTAAACTTCCCCCAGGAATGGGGTGGGAATAGAGATTTTACAATATCCTTCCTCTGCCATGCCCACCAACCCATGCCCACCAAGTCACATCATGCCCACCAAGCCACGCCCACAGAACTGGTAGTAAAAAAAATTGAATCCCACCACTGGACATAGGCTATAATTTTCAGGACTGTATCCTCAAGATGCGCTACTGTGCAAGATCTGACATATGTAAAGATCATATGTTTACATAAATATTTCATATGTAAATATGTGGAACCTCTCAAGCCATCTGTCCATGTGGTTTTCTTGACAGTAATAAGAAAGGGACTTTTCATTGCCCTCATCTGGGGTGGCAAAATCCCAGCCTAGCTTAAAGTCGTCATAATTTCAGATGGCTCCCCATCCAAACAGATCTGAACCTGTTTTGCTTTTTCAAGATCAGCCCAAGCCAATTAGAACTGTTTCAATGTTAATGTACATATTCTGCAATAATTAATAGTCAATAGTTGACCTCATATGTTAAATTTCAGTATGTTAGGAAATGTTTTTACTGTAGTTTGTTACTAAAGTTCAATTGTTTGGCTTAAAGATAATTCAAGCCATAAACCTGAGTATGTAAACCAATCTGTCTCGCCCATCGTTATAAGCCAACTAGCATAATAAATCTTGGCTTTGCGGCCTTCTGTGTGGGGCACAGAGGACCATACAAGGATGACTAGACCTTTAAGAGCACCCCCGCCTTGTAATAACCAATGTTAAATGGCCATTTTACTCTTTTGATGTTTAATTGTCATTAGTTTATAATTTAAAAAAAATTATCCTAATTTAATTTTAGCGTTAATTTTTACATTGCTTTATTTATCAATTGTATTGCATTGTAGACTGAAGGCAAAAGGAGAAGGAGATGGCAGAGGATGAGATGGGGTTAGATAATGAAAATGAATTTGGGCAAACTCTGGGAGACAGCGGACAGGGGTGGGGGTTGGTGTGCTGTGATCCATGGATTCGCAAAGACACAACTTAGTGCCTGAACAGAGACAACAGCACTGCCCAGAGTTCCTCTTTGAGGGAGATGGGTGGTTTAGAAATATGAAATGTAAGTAAATAAATAATGTGATGAATGACCTGAGCCTATGAAAGCCAGGTACTGCTGATGTGGAGCACAGAGTAAGGTACGATGTTCAAGAGAAAAGCAGTGGCTGAGGAGGGTCGGTTTGGTTTTCCTTTGTCTGTTTGCTGCTTTTCCACTGCAGACACAGCACCCAAAGAGCAAACAGTCTCTTGTCCTCTTTTAACACAGTAATGTCTCAACTGTATGATAATACCCAGTCCTCACCCTTTCGAAGTGAGAGCTGGATTTGTCAGAAGAACCACAACATGTAGTGAGAATGGGGTGTGTGAGAGATAAAAAGGCAGAAAGGAAGTATGAACTAGACTTAGTTTCCTCTTACTTTTCTTCCTTCTCCTTATCTTCTTACCCTTTTCCTGCTCTTTGCATCACCTTGCCTAACCCAAAGGATAGATTTGTAGATGAAGAGAAGGAAGAGGAGAACAGAAAATAGAATGTCGTCTCTACCTGCCACCCAAGGTCTCGAAAGCTCACGTAGAGTTCGTGTTTTCTGCAGGCTTGCTTCTGTTCACTTGTGTTATAATCTATAGGGGGGGAAGCACATTGCACAATTGCTTATTGTAAGCATTCATTAAGCCTATGTTATGTGTTCAGGTTCTAAGCATTCGCTCTTTCTTTCAGAAGACATTACCATCTTGTGTAAAGCATCCTTTGTGCCATTCTGCTGAATTCTGGAATTGATTCATAAGATTTTTATCCTATCTGGTTTCTCTTGAATCTATATAGATCTACGTCACACCAATCCCACCCATTCCTTTCCTGGTCCTTTCACAGGAATTACAACTGTTGCAGATGATTATACGCATTCTAGCAACAATTCTCAATTTTGGCTAGTTTAAGATGTGTGGACTTCAACTTTGCTGGCTGAGGAATTCTGGGAATTGAAGTCTGCACATCTTAAAGTTGCCAAGATTGAGAAACATGTTCTATAGAATGTAAAATGGTGCACTTTTTCAGCATTTAATGGGTGGCCATTTTTCAATAATTTCATGGTCTGACTTGATTTCCACCTTACTTTTCAATCAGATGAATTCAGATGAATAGGGTGGAATGGAATTCTTTCTTTGTCTTTCTGCATTATTCCTAAGGAAATTGAGTGTTTGCGGATATGACATACATTAAATATAAAATTGATTTCTGTACAGTGTCCATTGTATTAATTGAGTGCCATTTTTGTGACTTTCTGTTCTTTTTCTGTCTTCTCAAATGTTCAGATTATCCCTATTTCCCCTGTGCAGAAGATAGATTGTGGAGAAAACATGCAGCTCTGAAGCTACTGGTCGCTTTTTGAAAAAAATGAATAATATTCATAGCAGCAGAATAATATTGTTCTACACACACTGCTCACCCAGAAGCTCTTCAAATCTCCTGGTCTCCCCACGAGTCCTTTAGGCATAATCCCCCCCCCCAAAAAAAAAAAAAATAAAGTCGTCAGAAATGAACTAAAGTATCACTTTGATTTCTCTACAATCCTAAAAAGACTAAATATAATTTGAAAAGAAATGAGTATTGTCCAGCTGTGGGAAAAAATCTATAGATTCCAGCATACTTAATATGGAGCTAGTATCCCATCTCAAAAAAATAACAAATGCATTTAGACTGCAGGGTTATTCTGAATGCCAAATTACTAAACAGAAATCCATACTCCTCCTTGCCTTTCTACATTTCAGATGAAGGAACTATAGGATATTATATTACATTTCATGTAAATGGCTAGGATGGCATTTATTCTATAGAATGTGGTGTGAAAGTTCCAATTTCACTGACTGGGCCTTCAGCATCCTTTTCTTTGAAAATAAACACCAGACACAGAATTTTTCCTCTGCATAGACCTGATGTAATGTAGTGTTCATTGGACTGGAGATTTCCATGCTCAAACATGCAGCTTACTGATTAACTTTGGAGCAGGCTCTCTGTTTCATCCTAAAGCACCTCACGGTGCTGTTTATTGCAAATATAAAATTAAGACAATCTTCTATGTTTCCCACTTGAGGAAAGGTAGAACATAAATACAAAGAATGAGAAAGAGGATCATATGACCTTGAGGCTAATATTTGCTCCTACTTGCACAGGGGGGTTGGACTAGATGACCTCCAAGGTCCCTTCCAACTCTGTTATTCTATGTTCTGTGTTCTGAAACATTGTTACCTACCATATAAAATAATTCATTTTTCCATTTCTTCAGCATAAACCAGTGGGATTTTAAATAACCAACTTTTACTGACTCATGTCTAGAATTTTTCCAGAAACAATCAGAAAACCCTAAAGTATTCAAACCATTTGAGAAATATATGTAAGATATGCTGCTACAACATGTCTATGCATTTTATTTAAATTGTGCGCCTTAAGGCATCATGTGAAGATGCAACCTAGGTACATTCTTTCAAAAGTAACTTTGGCAATGAAATCCTCATCAGAAAGGTGAGTTATGACGGGGCTATGTTATTTCAGATTGCAGATAAAATGGTACAGTGTGTGCTGACACACTGTCCTGCAGATAAATGAAGTCCTATTTCCCAGAAATAAAAACATCACAGAGAAAGCTAGGGCAGAGATTCTAGTTTTTTCCCTAAAGAATTACTTGTTTTCATGGAGTATTTAATCAGGTCAGCTGCCAGGAATTAAATTACATTTCTTATGAATTTTTTTATGCTGCAAGGGAAAGGCATGACAGTCATCCAATCTATTAAAGAGCTAACACATACAAACAATATATGCAGAAATCAAGAAGGATGTGGGCAACATATGTTTGTTACATAATGCAATACTTAATTTTTTATCATATGTTCAATTCTATCGGATGAATTGGAATAACATAGGTGGAAATGTAACTTGTTCCACAAAGATGAGATCAGTTGATTCTAGGCATCTGAACTATTAATTAAACCAACTATGAGCTAATCATCTAGAACAGGAGTCTTCAAATTTGACAGCATTAAGACTTGTGGACTTCAACTCCCAGAATTCCTCCTCCAGTCATGTTAGTTCAGGAATTCTGGGAGTTGAAGTCCATAAGTCTTAAACTTGCCAAGTCTGAAGACCCTTGATCTAGAATTAGAGCTTCTCTGAAGAAAATTACTCTGATTGCCTGTTAACTAGGACAGTATTCCTTAAAACAGGGTACCTCATCCCTCTTACCTGCAACTCCTGACATTCGTGAAGTATTTTGTGAGCTACTGGACTTGCTGCGATTCTGATTTTTTTTCTTAGGGTTGGCAGCTCGGACAGATCGAAAAAGGACTTCGCTTGCTTTAAAGAAGGCAACCATGAATGGTTGCTTTGACTGCGGACCATGCCTGCCTATAAGACCAGCTGCTTTCACACTGATACTACGACCTGCAAAATAAAGAGAAATAAAATCAGCTACCATTAAACGAAATCCATTTAGCGGATGGATAACATTCTAGATAAGGTGTGCGTCTATAGAATATTTTCTGAATATTACAGTACCAGAAGTATGTAATGTCTCTGCTATAGTTCCACTTTCCACATTATGGTGACAAAGAGGTTAGCTAAGCAAAAAGCTCAGGCGATCCTGTTTTTAGAAATTGGGAAAAATAAATTGAGAATCCTGTATGTCCAAAACGCCCCAAAGAGAAATAAGAAATGAAGGTAGTGTATATATTTACATTTCAAGGCATAAATAATTCCCAGGCATTACTCATTTTTTGTCAGGACTCTGAAGGTCAGGCACAGCCGAGGCTTCAGTCTTTCAAGGAATAATATATAATCGAGGGTAAAATATGACATGATTGACTCTGATTTTAATCCCGAGGGATCTGCGTATTTCTTTATTATATTTGTTTAGCTGAGACTGAATAGTCACTTTGTCGGATTAGAGACTCCCCTCCCGGGCATGTGTATGGGGCAGAGGGGGAAGGGTGGAAGGGTGGAGTATCAGAAGAAAAAGTTGAAAAGGGAAAGTCCAAGTGTAGATGTAGAAGTTGTATCCATCTGAATGTTGTATCCATCTGAACAACCCCCAGGCTCTTAACAAAATTTATTTTGGCATCTTGAAGAATTGTGTGTCTCCCCATATTATGCAGAACCTTCAGAAAGTGAGACAGTGCCATATGAAGCTAGGCAGCTGTACAGGGAGAAGAATTATCATGGGCCAGCCTTTAAATAGTAGTGTGTTAATAAAGAAATGCTGAACTGAGTTCTTATAGGAGCAGCAGCTCACAATAGAATTATTCTGAACTATTGCTGGATCAACGAAAAAACAACTTTGGATGAAAGAGCCTATATCTTTTCAACTATGACATGCTCTCAAGCTTGTTCTTAATTGGATATGTCTAGTTTAACCAAAAGAAGAACTAGGGGTGTCATGATAGCAGTGTTCCAATATCCAAGGAACTGCCACAAAGAAGAGGGGTTCAACCTACTGTCCAAAGCACCTGAAGGCAGGATAAGAAGCAATGGATGGAACGTAATCAAGGAGAGAAGCAACTTAGAACTAAGGAGAAATTTCCAGACAGTGGGAACAATTAATCAGCGGAACAACGTGCCTCCAGAAATTGTGGTTGCTCCAACACTGGAGGGTTTTAAGAAGAGATTAGACAACCACTTGTTTGAAATGGTATAGGGTTTCCTGCTTGAGCAGGATGGACTAGAAGACCTCCAAGGTCCCTTCCAACTCTATTATTCTGTTGTTTTGTTCTGTTATTCTGTTGTTTTGTTATTCTGTTCTCACCACAGAAAGAACTTACTAATAATCCTAGGAGCAAGCCTTACTCAACTTAGCCCTACGCTTCCCTTTTTAAAGGCAGACTTATGGTGGCTCTTTGCCAGGCCTTTTTTTTTTTTAAAGAGAAACATTTATCATGGGCATCAATGAAAGAGGCAGTTTGATTTGCGGTTAAAGCAGTTTCCATTCTACTTCCACTGTAACAAATGCATTAATTCAGCTCTTTCCTGGCAGTCTTTTCGTAGGGAGACAGGGAAAGATTAGAAGTCTCAGCCAAATACCATACCTTGAATTGACCCACTTCAGTATATAAACACTTTTACAGTGTGTTTATTCAGATGTAGCACTTTAAATTGGGTTAAGACGTATCTAATGACAGATAACTGGAAAAGGATTTTTTTTTTAATGAAAATTAAACTTAGGAGCAGAGTAACTGAGCACATGTTCAGACAATTGTTAATTTGAGGGAACAAGGGAAATTCTGCAAAGGATGGAAGATAAAGGTTGGTGCATGGGACTGCGTGCTGGATCCTGAGACACTAAATAATCACATTCATTTTTGGCTACTTCCCTCCATTTTTGTTTTCTTTTGATGCAGGTTCAGTTTTAAAAAGTCATAATACACTTTTCCATACAGAAAACCAGTAGAAAACTACACTGTGATTACTCAGTGGCATTCTTATTAGTAAAACGATTTTGAGTTCTAGGAATCCACAACATTTTCCTGGAAGAGTTCTTAGAAAATAGAGTAAATATATGAGCAATGTTAAGTACTCTAAATTAATAAATTTAGAGTACTTAACATTGCTCATATATTTATTTTAAAGTATATATTGTGTGATAAGCAAAAACAAGGAATAAAAAGCTTTTAATGTAACACAAACTCTCTTTAAAATAATACTGGGTTAGCAATAAGATAACAAGGAAGATCCTACAAATAATAGTTTATATAAATCCTTGAGATATGTAGAGGTACTCTTAAACAGACATTAAACATAAAGCAATTTATATGGCTCTCTATCATGTGTTTACTTGGTCTTTTGAAAAGCCAAGGTAGACAGATATAATTATCTCCAAGGTTTCTATTTTAATTTTCAGTGTGTGTTTCTATGAATGTGAGAATAAATCCCAACAACTGTAGATACAATCTGAAGGTGAAAGATTTGTGCAATCTAAAGAGAAACCAGAGTATAACTATAGATTGGGATGAGGGAGCAACTATGGCTCCTTTAGGACCTGTGGGCTTCAACTGAGCCTGGCTGGCTTGGGAATTCTGGGAGTTGAAGTCCACAGGTCATAAAAGGACCCACCCCTGCTGTAGATGAGAGTACATTCAGCATTACACAATTTAGAATTATAAATCTTACAGCAAAACTATTGAAGAATTTAATCCAGAATTATTCCAAAGATCTCAAAACTCCAAAGTTAGGTGTTCCATAATTGAAGCCTTTGCTTATTGATTAAGGGCAGTTTCCAAAGAGCTGGGCAACTAGTATCATGTGCCCAAGGGAGAGCTCTTCTTGTGTTCCAAAGGATAGATTCTTGCATAGCAAATATCTTTGAACCTAAGGTTTCTTTCAGAAGCACTTGTGATTAGGAGACCGCTATTCTGAAAGTTCAATTTCCTTCTAACCAAGAGCAAGCTCTTGGGCATAACTATTGTAGGGATTCCAATCTCACTTTGCATAGTCTAGTCAATATGCATTTTATTGTGATTTATTAGCCCACCTTTTTAAATGCATTCCTCATGTGGAAGAGACTACTTATGGCTGAAAATCCAAGCTCCTGTTTAGCACAAGAACCCAAATCAAAGCACTCTTCACCAATAAGTCCCTGGTTTAAGACAAGAACCTGTATATATGATTGGGATTCTCCATTACAATGAATTAGGACAACAAAAATGGTTATGTCTTGCACATTTGAGATGGAGTTCAGAAGAACAGGAGCTACTGATACAATCTATGGTTTCCCGTGACTGAAACGTTCTCCAGATATTAAAATCCAGAAACATGTAGATGAGTTGGAAGGAGGAGTGGGAAGATTTTGGAGGACTTTGAGATCAATGGAATAACTCTGGATTAAATATTTTAGTAGTTTTGCTGTAAAGGGTTCTCACTCCAAGTTATATAATTCTGAATTTACATTCATCTACAGTTGTCAGATTTATTTCCACACATACAGACATGCACGTGCCTAAGTGAATAGAGTAAAATATAAAGAGCAATTTGTCCACCTAAAGTGGGTTGAGGGACAGATTGTATGGATTGGACATTGTACCTTTATACCTTCTCATATTCCAAATTTCCATATGAAATGAGGACTGAGTCAAACCATACCTCATTTCTATGCCTGCCTCAAAGTCTCACATATGAACCCATACTGAGAATTAATTCACTTTGGATTTAAAAAAGAAAAGGAAAGCTAATCATAGCTATTGCCAAAACTGGATTTTGTTAAAAAATGGGGCATTTTTTCCTCTTTGAAGCCAGAATTACATTGCATTAATCTGACAGAGTTGTTTTGTGGTTTTATCCATACATGTTGACAATGATATTTCAAAAGCCATGTAATGTAATCCTTTGGAAAGATTTATGAACATTTCAGAATGTTTTACTGTACACATTTCTTCAGTACAGCAAGATATATTGTTCAAAACAAAAAAATGTTGCAATCATTTCACAAAATGTATTCTTGAAATACTAGAACCAACTTTTCAATATAATATATTTCCACTGTGAATGAAGTGTTATAAGGTTTCTTTTTATTCCAATTGAACTTCATTGTAATAATCGTAAAGATATGACGGCACAGGGAATAAATATGATCCCTTCATAATTATTTTATTACAGAAACAAAAAGAGGTACAATTATTTGAAACAGATATACTTCTTTTCAAAGTTGAATTGTGAAGTATTCTATATCAATGTGGTCTTTTACCAAACACACTATCAAATTATCATATCCCCATAATTATTTCTTATATGGACTACTGTACAGCATTTGCATTCTGTCCTCTGTCAGAATGTCTTGGGCTATGTCTTTGAATGTTTAAACTTGATTTCATATATAGGTAGTCCTTGCTTTAAAAAAAGGACTTAGGACCGGAATTTCCATTGGTAAGTGATGACATTGTGAAGTAGATGCTATGCTGCTTAACAATGGTAATTCCAGCGGTCCCCAGTTATTGTTGTTAAGTGAATCACCATAGTTTGCTAAGGAAGGACCTCACATAATTACAATTTCCAACTACCTGCTGACTTCCCTACTGACTTTGCTGGTGGGAAGCTGGCAGAGAAGGTTGCAAATTGAAATCTCATGACCACAGGACACTATGACAACTGAAAATCTGGGCTAGTCACGTGATTGTGGTGGTGTTGTGATGGCCGGAATTTTGAGGATTGGTCATAAGTACCACTCTTTCAACATGGTTGCAAGTTCAAAACTGAGTGAGTGGTTGCTAAATGAAGACCACCTATAGAGAGTCAGAAATATATTTAACAGGGCTGGAAAATAATTTGCTATGTATAATAAATGAGAAAGATAGAATGTCAACTTGGTCAGATATGGTGAATAGACTCAAAATGGAAGAACACACACACACTGGTAGTTTTTTTTTTTAAACAACAACAACAACCCATAAAATTAATTATTAGTAGGGACAATAGAGTAAGCAGAAATAGAAAGCTATAAGCCAAATAAAAGAAACAAGAAGACACAACTGTCAGACTTAACAATCCGCAAATGTCTTAAGGTGGTGCCTTGAACGTAAATCACTACTAAGGAGGCCAGGGGGAAACTAAAAACTCATAGTAAAAGCATTCCTCAGGGAAATTGATACAATTTTAGCTATTTCCCCCCTATTTTCATCACTTAGCCATCAATTGAAGTGATATAAAGCCTGCCCTCATGAATGTTACTTTGACAGATAGAAATTA